CTCTACATGAACTAAAGCCACAGAAGGTATGTGGCAACAACTGTAATTTGAGAGCTGGTTTATATGAGCCTTTAAGAAGCAAAATACCTAAATACTTGCTGGGAACCAATCATAACTGTAACAAACCTTTAGCAGTAACAAAAATATTTCTTTTTCTCCTGTTGAAACTTGCTAATGTGCTTTTCCAGCTCCTTTCTAATAGGACGAAAAGTAGTTTTAGTAAATAAATGGAAGAGTCTTGCTGCCCTTTCCACAAGACATCAGAGGCTAGCAAATACTAGCTCTTTGCAGCCTTCTCTGGAGGCTTCCACTCTAGAGAATCAGTCCAGAGTGCAGGTCTTTGGGGTTGTGTCTGTAGATGTGGTTCTGGCTGCTCTTTTCGGGGGAACCAGAGAAAGACGAGATGGGGTAACAGCATGTAAGTGTTTGAATGTAAGCTGTGCGACCTCCTTTGTCAGCTGCCGGCATCACAGATACTTCTTATGGGTGGCTTTAGTGCATAATTCACGTTGTATTTATAAGAAGTTCCTATGGGTCCTCCTCCAAGTACTGGATGAAGGTAAGTACTGATTTTTTCCCACTTGGAGCTCGCAGTACTCAATGAACCTACCTGGAAAGAGTGACATATGAGTTGATGGACTTACTAAATTTGTGATCCCAGGCAGTGGGAGCTGTGATAAAAAAGACACTTAGACTAAACCAGAGTCTTCAAACAATCTTCCTTGAGGTGTTGGCTTGCAGACTTACAACTCTGGAGTAGCTGTAGTGAGCATAATGGGGTGTTGTGAGAGGTAATTACACTATGAAACATGATTAATCAGTCTCCAAACAGTCAAAACAAGGAGAGAGCTCCTCCGTCTTTTGTTGTGGTGGTCCACACATACAAAGAACCCACCTTAGCTACTCTTGAGTATCACCTCTCCACTGTCTTGATGGGCAGCTGTGGAGACTAGTTGGTTAGACCCTCAGAGATGAATTTTATAAATCCGTTCTTGCACAGAGTCCCTTTGGTTTAACAGGAAAGTGGTATGAGTGCAAGTGACCACCCATATCTTTTAAGCATATTGATATTAGCTTGAAAAATATCACAGCACTAAAAAAAAAAATTATACATTTAAAACATCACGTGCCTCTGTTGCATACATTTCAATGAGGTGAGAGGTTTCTAAAGCATCTCTGCTATCATGAAGTTTAGAAGTTTTTTCCTTTTGTTTTTTAGGAACGTCGCATTCCCATAGTTCCAGGGTCTATGGCTTTACAAAAATCATCAAATATTTTGGATTCAGAGAAGAACATCAATCACGTGGGTAAGTAATATTTCTACAGTATCACTGTGGCTTGCAGATGTTAATGCTGAGCAGAACATGTCAATAAAACTACCAGGAAGGAAACATTATGTTTCATTGATGGGATCACACAAAATGTTTGAGTAGTTTTTTATCAACAAATCCTAAACAATGGAAATGCAAAACAAGTAACTCACAGTGTGCTTTATTATTTTTTCACAATATTAACTAGACAAACATGGAAGGTTTAATGGCAGCATGTTCTTATAACATTTTAAAGACAAAGAACAACATAATCATATTAAATGATGATAAACTGACAAACTACATTACCATACATACATCATCCAAAGGTACTGGATAAACGATATTTGCTTATGTACATTTATGCTGGTGATAATTAAAATTCAAATATTCAGAAGAAAAAGAAAAAATACGCTATTTAAATTATAAAAATATACAGGTTTTGTGTGGAATTCTTAATGCTGTATAACTTCTTGAAAACAATTCCATTGCGTGATGAAGCTGCATTAACTTAGTATAGGAGTGTGATTTAAACCAAATACAGATTAAATTGGCTCTTTTGTATTTAGCCTTGTTTGAAAGAGAGAGAGGAATGAAAAACAAAGCTGGGCTTTTGCAGTGAGAAAGTATTTTTATACTCGTAAATCAAAAGATGTTTAATTTTTCATATAGTACTGAGCCATTAACTCATAATACAAATGAATCATTTTGCTAGCTTGTTTAAAGATAGGAAGAGGAAACAAAAAAAAAAAAAGACAGGCTTTAAACATGCTACTTCACTATACTTTTAATCAACAGGACTTGTAGGTTTGTGGAGCGGATTGCAGGTGCACAGCTAAGCACAGTGTCATGCTTCAGGGTCAGAGCATGCAGTCCTTACGCAGAGCTGGCTCCCACTGCCCCGGCTGGGGAGCCTGTGCATGCAAGGGTTGGGGGTTCTGGGTCTGTGTTCTTTGAACTGCATCACCTTCATGTTTCCTTTGCACATCTGGTTTCAGAGAAACATTTTTTTTTTATTTCTTTTTTTTCCCCATAATTGTTCCTTATTAGTGCAACCTTACTCAGGTTGTATAATCCCCAGTCACAACAGCAAATTGATGGACTTTTATAATGATTGGATAGTTTTATACTAATATACAAATAATTTTGTAATTGAAAATTTTTAGTCATTATAGTCATGTAGTGCACACATTTATAGCTGGTTTTAGTTAACAGTTATTTTCAGACCATCTTGGGTGAACTCCTGCATCATACGAAACTTGACATTTTCTTACATACCAATGTCATTCTCCATATCTTCCATCCCCCTCCCTTATCTGTATATTCTGAGTTACCTCGACAGCCCCATTACTCTTTTGGTGGATCCAGTGCTTGTTCTATTAAGAAACAACCTCTGCGTCAGCTCTGGTTTCAGAATACTTAACTTGCAGATTTTGTCTTGTTTTTTCATCTGTTCCTAAGTTGCTGATCTATAAAACATCTTAGGTGATCTTACAGATACTTGTTTTAGAAGCAAAATATTTTCCTTCATTATTTTCTTAATAAATTCAGTGAAAAGAAATTAATGACAAATTAATTGAATAAAGTAAAATCAAGTCTTTCTCTTAAATTCCTGTGGATTTCCTGTTTTGCAAAAGACTGCCCACCAAATTCACAAAGTTTTATAGTGAAAAATAATAATGGGGGTCTCTGTAATCTTTTATTGTGCATTATATCATCCTTTTTTCAACGGAAAGGATGAGAGGTAAACAAATTCCAGATAACAGTTATATTTAAGCAAGGATATATTTCAGTAATCTGTTTCCCTCCACTTCTTGACCTCTTCCTTTGTTGTCCTCAGATCTTCCACACCTATCCACCTTCAGAAGTGTCCTTCTTTTTATTTTTGCTTTTACAGCTTGTATATGCTGAGAGTGGTCAGCTGTGTGTGCACACATAGTGACAGGGAAGGATTTTCACTGAAGCATAGTCTTGGAGTGTGGAAGTCTATAAGGCATGTTGTGGGAACAAAAATCTTAGTGGAAGTGTAATGAAGAACAGGAAAGACAGAAATTATTGCAAAAGAAATGCAGGAGTGAGAGGAGAGGCTTTTATTAAAGAAGTTCAAGCTTTTATATACATTCAATGTTTCTAATATGTTTCTTAATAAATGTATTATCAACTATCATTATACCTAATGCAGCCACAATACTGTACTATTCTGCAGTCAGGATGGGAAAACTCCATTAGCTCTTTAATAAAATAAAATCAACAGTCATCATGATTCTTCTTTTTGCCTAGTATTAACTAATACGCTGGGATGTCCAGTGAGTAGACACAACAGAACACAAAATCCTCAGTATTTATTTAAATGTGTATCATGTGTCTTCTTCATATTATTTCTAAAGCAGCTTTAAAAAACTTTTGCCATCGGAAGGTATTAAAAAATAAAACCCATTCAAATTATCCTGGTAGTATAGCAGCACTGGAATTGATAGTTACTCTTTTACTACTTTTGACAATGTAAACCTTTAATAAAATAAACAATATTGAAGCAATTTGAGGTCTAATAGTTCATGAACTTTAATGGGCGTATGGGCACAAATTGAAACGAAGACTAGATTGTGAAATGAAACATTAGCTTGATACCAGCCAATTCCAGTTGTGAAATTGGCTGCAGACAAATTCGGCTTGGAAGCTGAAAAAAACCAAAGCCCACACTCAATCCACAATATTTGGTTGCTCCCATTTCAAATATTTTTCACATGAACCCTACACGAGCATGCCCACTTCTGACAGAAGCACTCTGAAAACATTGCAGGTGCTTTTTGTTTGATGGTGGGATTTTTCTTTACTCAAGCATAGTTCACATTTTTGTGTTCTTAGAAATATTTCCTTTCTATGTTTCCATAAAATTAAAAGTAATTTCAAATTTGAAATGTAAGCTCGGTCCATCTTTGCTCATACAAAGTGTAGGTGCCATGACTAAATAGCAGTAAAAATGCTGAGATGTACAACTCTTAAACAAACAAACAAACAAAAAAGCAGCTTTGAAGACACAACATCAACTACAGCCTTAACATTGAACATATTACATTCCCAACTTAATGGAGATCCTTTGCATATAATGCCACAAAGTTAATCAACTGTAATCTTGAGGTTGAATCTACAGTTTATTCACTGTATTTTTTTCACCCTTAGAGCACTTATGTATTGTAGGGTACATTTTATCCAGAGCTTTGCAACCTTTTTCTTTATGTCTGGACATCCATTTACCCACAAATCCCAGATTTCAAAAGTTTCATAGAAAAAATAGGAGCGCTTGACTTAAAAACATTTGAAGCTGGACATTTCCCTGCCTCGGAGCAGCCCGTGGGACACGCTTCAGACTCTTCGGCTTCGTCGGGACTCCTGGCCCCCTCCGAGGGCACGGAATGGCCCACTTTAAAACGCATGGACACGTCTGGTTTCATAACACAGATCTGTTTATAAAACTGCACACTGAGTACTCTGCATTAATTTTACTGGAGTTGCATTTTGTAACACGAGCAGGTGACTTCACACCTCCCCTTCTCCCCCCCCTGCCCCTTGCCCCCCCCTTTCCTCCCCCCTATTTTCGCTTGAAACGACAGCAGGCACCTGCGCAACTGAGGTGTCAAAGAGTCTCTGTCCAGAGAGAGGATTTGGAGTTTCTTCATCGTCTTTTCTTCTGTAGACAGTCTTAGGAAATTATTAGCATGAAATAATTTTGAGGGCGAGGGGCAGGAGGATAAAGCTCACTTTCTTTTCCTGTTATGAAAATGAACTTGATTTTGGTGTCCAGTTTGATAAACAAGGATAGTCAGAGCTAATCTGTAACTCAGCTGAGGTCTGCTTCTTGCCAAATAAAATTAAGATCTTTTTCAACTTTCAGGGATTTGGAGACTGCATCTAATTGGTTTCAAACCCCCGGAGGAACTCAGTAAGTAAACAGGATTAGTTGCAGATATGAGCCCACTAAAGTGGGACACAGGTCAGGTCTTCAGACTCCAGCTCTGCTCTGTCGAAGCAGGCACTTAAGGTCTCCTGATGTTTCTGTGTCAGTAGCCGCAAAAAAACCCAAAAAAACGTTTTACAGCTGAGAAAATCATTGGAACGGCAATTTCCTGCAAGCTCCAAAGATTTAACTTCACACTTCCATTAAAAAAAAAAAAAAGTATTTGAGTCGACATGTATTAGGGTGTTGTGATTATGATGTGATGGCACAACTGGTAACTTGAAAACGCATGTTTGCAAGGCATAGGCAATCATATTTCCAACTGTTCTCCTGTAGGGATAGCCAGGTGTCCTTCGAGAAGTTGCCATCTTGACTTCACGTATGTACCATGTTGAATCGTCTACTCCGTCAGTTCTTGCCAGCAGGACACGGTGAGAACTTTGTTCACGCTGACCTTGTCTTTCAGATCCCTCCCAGTCACCCGGAAAATGCAAGGAAAATCAACAAAATTATGCAGCCTTTAGCAGCTCAAGTAACTGCCCTCGTAAGTGTAAGCAGGTAGGTCTTTGTTAGTACATTTGCTCTTCAGAGATAAAATAATCCAGCCAGCTGCATTAATTAAAAAAAAAAAAAAGGACCTAAAATACTTTGGGGCTCATTAAAGTTAAGAATAACAACATGATGTGATGACAGATACAACTTGCAGAGTTTCTGAAAATAGCAGGTTAAAATGTAAATATCTTTTAATAAATAATTTTCCTGCAATGTAAAAATAAATGATATTTCCTTTGGCAGTAATAGCTGATTTAATCTTTAGATGGGAAGTTGTTTTGCTCATAAAATATCATTGTGCTACAGAAAAAAAAATATTATTTTGTTGTTTTGAAAGACTTTTGTAATCCACGATAAACTGGGTGACTCTACTTATGTCCAAGATAAGCGCCAAGAGTGATGCAAGCTCCCACCAGAACCAGACTCAGGATAGTCTTCAGAGAGATCCAGGAGAAATCGAACAAAGGCCTCATACTGTTGCCATACAACTCCACGAAGGCATCCTAGAAAGGGAAATAATGGAACATCAGAATTGCGGTAACTTTTTTAGAGAGGGAGGGCAACTTCTTCATGATCAATGGTCATCCAGCAATCACGCTGGCACAAAAACCCCACACAAACCTACTAAAATAGGGATTTGGGAGCTATGTTTTTGTGCAGTCTTTAGCACAAAGTTCTCCTGCCTATTTCTTTACAAATGCTGCTGTAATTACTTACGATCATGTTTTCTGCTTTAGGCATGCCCAGTCTAACAGAAAATATAGGAGTATAAATTTTTTTAAATATGAGTACCACCATTTTGGCTCCTGAATGTTGTATATACAAACATATACAAAGGAAGGTATATGGACCTTCATTCTCCAAACCTTTCATTTCCACTGAACGTGGGGCATCCATATTGCTGGTCAGCTTTGCTGAAAATAAGGCAGTATTTATTTAGTTCCCTTGGGATAGGTTCAGAAGATCATGTGTAGTAGTCACCATAGATGTTTCTTCTGTATGAACTGAAGCCGTTAGGGTTGTGTTACACCTTTGATAGTGTTTCACAACTGTCACCAAGAGGGGTGACACCTTGGTCCTGTGCTCCTGCTACTCATGCCTTGGATGTGGCAATGGTCTGGCTGTAGGGTCTCTTGGGCCAACCAGCTGATCCCACAGCTCTGCCTAAAAGAGAGCTGTCTTGCCATGGGATTGTCTTGATAGTCTGACTTGCCCACCAGCCAAGACACTCAGCTAGAGGAAGAGGAGGGGAAGAACAGAGTGATGCCACTTCTTGTGGTCTCCCGTAAGTCACCTGGCATGAGGTGTAGAGGGAATCCTCTCCCTCAGTCCAGCCCAAACCACGCTGGGTTTCTCCTTCCAGCTGCACTCCTCCATGTACGGAGAGCTGTTTTGTAAGCTGCTCTGGAGAAGTCTTGAGGTGCGTGTAGGCACCAAAAGGAAAGGCTATTTAAGTAGCAAAGATGAAGTTTTTCACTGGGATTTGACTGGGCTCGTGATCAGGTGGGTGATACTCTGCATGCAACGCCTTTCTTTCAGCCTCCAATTCCTAACAAATGTGAAGCTTCAAAGCATTCTTGAGAGACACATAAATCACACCGTATGGCATAAAAGCAGTAAACAGTGAAGCTGAATGACTTTAAAAATGAGATAAAACTGATGGCATCATTTATGGCAACTCTTTTATTGTGCAGCCAATGGAGGTCTGCCCCCAAACTACTGAGATAAACCTATGAAATAGCTATCTAATATGGGGGTTTCCATCTCTACCTTTATTGCTCTGGACTTCCCATTTTTGGTAGAAGCTAACATTCTCTGTTTACGTTACAGTGCCTTTAGCTGTTTTGTAATGTTACTATGCTAGGAGGTAACCTGCCTTCTAGAAATCCATATGTGTTATGGTTTACAGCAGGAATTAAGGAGAAAGTCTCCATTATTAATAGAAACCTTCCAGCCGAGTTAATTTTCTTTAAATTATGTAGTCAAATTAGCCTCCATCATTAGCCATCTCTAGTTATTGTCAGAATAAAAGTGTTTGTGGTTTTACCACGAGAGGGCGTGTAAGGTTTTTTAATATTTTGCCATTTTGACTCCTGTTCCCTAGACACTGAGATTCAAATAAATAATAGGTACTTACTTCCAAAGTACATTATTACACTAAGTAATATTGATGCATGTTGTAGGTAAGAGTGGGTGTCAGTAGGGAAGAGTTGGTAACAAAATAGCAATAGGCTTTGGCCAACAGATTGACCTGAAAATACGTCTGCCTCCTGCTATTTCTCAATGCTTGTTCCTCCAGGCAATTTTCAAACTTGGATTTCCAAAGGTATATTCTTAAGTGAAAGCAGCTTAACCTTTGCGAGGAATGTTTTAGCGCGAACTCTGCATTCCGGAGAAAATTTGGCAACTTTTGCTTAGCTGCCTCATTTTTGAAATAGACATTTGCAAACTCTGGCCTTAATATTCTGCTGTGCTGTTGTAGAGCTGAAAAAACACACTCAGTTTGCTGTGCAGCTCTTTGGAAAGCTGCTTTTATTTCTCCTTAAGGCTATGAAGTAACACAATATCCTAAAATGTTACAGACTGGGCTAAATCCTGTTGTCGCCAGTGCAGACTCCCTGACTTCCATGGGAGCTTTGTCTGTATAGGGAGTTCAAGACCAGGCCTTATAAAAATACAACAAGGGTAAAGTTCAACACTTGGTGATATTATTATGGGTGGAAAAGAGAGGAAATGAAAAAAAAAAAAGCCCCAAAACCATCCATGAAAATGCTAGTCATGTGAAAACATTTTAATGTTAAGATTTCCATAGTTTCTTTCTGTGGGGAAGGTCTCACTTCTGTATATTCATGACAATCAATGCATACACAGTATAAATATAAAAATGAGTATATTTTGTGCCCCCCTTCTAGCCCAGTTTAGGAACATCCCAGTTTGTCTGGGAGGCCATGTCTAATGATTCGGTAGAGCTCCTGGTATTGGGTATGAAGATGGACGGAGGGTTCTAGTAAAACTTGAAGACAAGGCAAAAGTATGGCATAAGCTATGGCTCAAAAGAGGAATGTTAACAAAAAATGTGCAGCATGCAGTACTTTTTGTCTGAGATTATTACAACAATAACATGAACCCAACCTAATGGTGTCTGCGCTATATATTACAAGTAGCTCTTTATGATCGTTCCCCCTCCCCTTCTCAAACATCCTGATTAGGCCTATTTCCGAAGCTTGTTTGAACAGCCTGTCACTATTTGTTTAAGTTTCAAACCTGTTTTAAATAAACACATGTCCATTTTATGTACTAAAACAAGGAGGGGGGGGAGGGAAGCATGACCCATTGCCGAAAACTATTTTAGCACAAAGAGAACCCTTAACAGAATCTCAACTGTTTCATAAGGTTTGTCTCCTTCTGTAAACCCATGTATTTGTCACTGGATTTTTGTCACCTAAACCAGTCTGTTTAAAATAAGAGAATCTCTGCTAAACCAAATAAGTTTAGGAAAATTGCTTGAGACACTTGATGTCCTCTGAAAAGCACTCTGTATAATGAAAGCAAGGGTCCCCTTGGCAAATAGACTCAGGCAAGTTCAGGCTTGGTCAACCTTTCTGGAAGTCTTACACAATTGGAAAGAAAATGGTTGCAGGCCTTGCTTTTAAGACCTACCTATTCAAAATTTAATGGAAAGTTATATCCTGGATGTAAAATTATATCAGGGCAGTTAAAAGTTATATGGCAAAGAACTCTTCATTCAGCTCTGTAAGTTTTTAAAAAGTAATTTCTTAAGAAGCTTTTATTAAGTCAAATCAGTCCGTTGCTGGTTTACTATGCAACTTTACGCTGACTCTTTCTGTGAAGCAAGAAAGGTGGCAGTGGGGAAGGGAAAGATGCTCTGCCAAAGCTCCTCTGAGCACCAAAGCACCCGAGATACCTGCCTCACCTCGCTGGGCTCAATTGGCAGGCCAGGAAGATCGCCCCGAGGGCACCCCTCGCTTCCCTCCTGCCTGTTGAACTATAGGCAGGGAGGACACAGCGTGTTCCTGGCCCGAGTTCCTGGGATTTGCAGGGAGCCCAGAGCAAAAGTGGAGTTTGTCACCCTCGGAGGATTAGGAGGCATAATAGCGCACTGAGTCAGGGCAGGCTCCAAACAAAGCATCCAGATCACACTACCCCGCTCTTCCGCTGGCCCAAATTCGGCAGCTCCGGTCCAAGAAACAAATGTCATCTTTAATTACACAGGCATTTTTTTTGCTTGCGCATCGAGCCGAGTTTGTTCAGTCTTGGTCCTTCTGCAGCTCAGCCTTTACTCCTGCTTAAGGGGCAAGGCAGAGCTTCTTGGCCGCAGAGACGTACGGCCTTCCCAGAGGCCGAGCCCAGAGATGCCCTAGGGATCAGATGGTTCCCTACTGAAAATAGGGAGGGAGAAGCCAGTCTCAGCCTGGCATTTCTGGCTGAGGGGGTGGTGGGGAGAGCAAACACGAGGAAGTAAAGGCTTCCTTTTTCTACCTGAATCAAACAGCTGGTGAGGAAGTGACTTTATTTCCCTCGTTATCATTGGGTTGACAGGATATCCTCTTGAGCCACAGTGTATTGAATGAAGAGCCGGTGAGACTTCCATTTTACTGAACGGGAATTGCCTTGAGGTTATTTTACGCTGCCCTCCCCGTGGCTCCAAAACAAACAAACATACACACACTAGCTCCTGGCTTTTGAAGAAACCTGCACAGGTCTGAACGAGGTGGCCTTGCCACCTGGCACGGGGCAGGAGAGGGAATGGCATAAGCTCCAATGCCAAGGTTTAGCAGCTGAATGACTTTTCCCTCACCCCTGCCTCCATATAAATGACATATATTCTCATAAAAACTTTCGTTCCCGAATGGTAACTCATTTCAGAAGGAGTTTGGGGAGGGAGTGGAGAGAGCTGGTTAAGTCGTCCCATGTTTTCTATGCAGTGAAACCTCATTAAAATGTCATCTTGAAGCTAACGAGAAAAGTTCTTGGAACACAAAAAAATAGACAAACCTGTGGCTGTTCTTTTCCCAAAGATTTTATGGGTCTTTTATGCAAGCTTAAGTCATGAGTACATGCAAATAAGGACAGCTCAGGCCTTGACCGTGTTGTGCTGAGGTGTGTTGTTTTGTCAGGTCGGTATCTTTAGAGAGGCCGGTATCTTTTTATGCCCGGGAGTGCCGACATGCTGGCAGTCCGGCCAGCTGCATGTTATTGAATTACAATGGGAAGGAAAAGAAGGTGTCACCACACAAGCCCTGCCAACCACAGCGGGCAAACCTGCCCTGGGGAGTGGCTTTGGCACGTGCACCCCTCCCTCATCAAATCCCCATCCAGATTTAATTTTTTTCCCCTCCTCACCTTTGTGTCTATTCTGAATTCTGTTGCCACAATGCCCAGTATAGTCCCAGGTCTGCAGTTGATGTGTTGGCTGCTGGCTGCATAACCCTTTTGTTTCTCCAGTGGTATCTGTGTTTTCTGACTTTGGACAAAACTGGTT